GCAGAGGATTTTTCCTCTAGCCTCTGCGTCCAGACCGGCTCTGGGGCCCACCCAGCCTCCTCTACAATGGGTACTGGGGTCCTTTCCCGTGGGTAAAGCCGGCCGGGGCGTGATGCTGACCACTCACCCCCCTAGTGCCGAGGTCAAGAAAGGGAGGAGCTATACCTCCTCTCACCCCAAGCGCATACATGGCACATAGTGGGACAAACTTTACTTTACTTTTTACGGTAGACTGCTTGCAATGCTTGCATAATTGTACATTTAGATAAGTAAATATATAGTAATATATTGAAGTGGTATTTAAAAGGCCCTGTAGAAATATTTTTACTTAGAACATTTAATTTCTTTTGTTTTAGAAACTACTCAACAGAATTTTATGACATACAGGCAGTGTTAGGAGAATTCTGGAATTTAATGTGACGTGATTATTTTTATAAAATATTAACTTGTTATGGGGTAGAAATTGGCTTTAAAGTGGTAGTAGACATTTGTATATTCTCATAAGCATCTAGATAACTAAAAAGAAAAGCACTAAGTTCATGAATGTCTTCTTTTCAATTGAGAATACAGAATTATCATTTTAGTTCATCCTTGTAAGTAGGTTTCCTGGTTCTGCATTTGCCTCTGTGACCAGAATAATTTAATTTGCAATCATGTAAGTGATAAATGTTAAATTCTGTTTGTAGATCCAGCAAAATATGAAGTACAGATGAAGGTAGATAATTTAAATGTGGAAGACATGTTTGACTCTTATCGTCTGAATCGATTGCTGGATATATTTCGCTGTGAACTATGGCGAGAGAGCGAGGGCGACCTCTATGTAACATTTCTAGCATCAGCTGTACATCTTGGAGCTAGACATCCTCTACGACCAAATGAAGGAGAAGGGTTAGTTTTGGTAGTAGCTGAATGTCGGTATGCTTCTAAATGTTGGCAGAGTTGTGCTGGCATTGTTCATTATTTTCATTTCATTATCTAAAATGTTGTACTGCTTCCACCCAATTTTTTCTGCATGATGTATGTATTGCTTAAAATCATAGTATGAAATAAGTATTGTTACTTGTGGATTAAATCAGCATTCTGTGAACTATTACACCAATTTCTTTTTCTTGTCATGACATGTTCTGATGTTTTTATTTTTAATCTGTATTGTTAATATTATAAAATACAAATACATTTCAGTATGGTTCTTGAACATACATTATGTGCTCCTTGTTTTATTGGCTGTAAGAAATCAAGAAGGTATTTGTTTAATTGAAAAGTCCAGAGCAGTGAAATATGACTTCTGTTTTAGTAGTGGTTTACTGTAGTTCAAAAGTTTGTCTTGTAATGTTTCTGTCCCCAGCGTGGTTTTGAGAATTGGCAGCACAGCCGAGTTTTCTACAGCCCTTGTAAAGCTGCAAGATGAAGTGAAACCACTGTGGAGGTTAAATTCCTGTCCACGAGATTTCAAAAGAACTACTGAAGAGAGACTGTTCAGAGATAAAGGTTTTGTTCTTGATTGGTGTGCCTTCAGACTGGTAAGAGCTTTTGCTGCTATAAGCACTTCGTTTCCTGTATCATATTGACTGAATTCATAATGCCTTCACTATGTACCTATAGACTATAATGCACACTCCTGTTTTGAAAATTTACAGAACTTACTTTAATTGTGCAGGTACAAAGAAAAAGGAAATTCAAAAAGATATGAAGTTATTTATCCTTTCTGAACATTATGGCAGTTAGGAGAGCAGGTTTCTCTTACTCAGAAGACTGTGTATCACAAGATTAATCACTCTTTCAGATGCTGCTAAAAGCATTGAAAATTTGAAAACTGCATTTCAGCGTGTGTGTTGTTTTATTGGCTTATGTACCTACAGTTTCATATATGCTTGATTTTGCACTTAGGTGGAGGCTAGTTCATCTTCTTTGCATCAGCATTTTCCAATTGGCCCTGATTCAGAAGTATCAGTTGATCAGCGACCATTAAGCCTTGGCCATGAAGACCTCTGGACTCGTCCATCAAAATCTCAGGTGCCACAAAGAAGTTATGTGAGGGAGTTTGTTTACACAATTATGATTCCAATGCTGGTGATGATTATATTGGTACTGATTCTTTCACTCATCCTGTGCTTCCATCATGAAGGAATGTGAGTATAAAGGTTGAATTACCTGCATGTGTGCAAGAAAGTATTGCCATACTGCACTTTTTTTATTTCTATAGAAATTGAATTGCATGTCACCACAGCACAGCATGTCCTCAGATTCGAGTAGATGGCAGCCTCCAGATATGAAAAGTAGCTGGTAAATATATTAAATAAGCAATTGTAGGTAGCCAACAAGCTACATCTCTACCTTTGGGATTTGGTGGGGGATTAATATAGGATATAGAACTTAGTCTGTACCGAGCAAGATTATTAACAGAATTAAAATGCCTGAAAGTAATTGTGCATAGGTGTTTGAACTGGATTAAGCTGGCTTAGGGTAAGGTTCATTGGCAAGCTTTTGTGTTCATGGTGCCATAAAAGGGGTGAATTTCCTGACCAGTTGAGCAACCACCTGCTTATCAATAATAGCCTTGCTCTATTGTGTAGTCTATCTTTTTTTATGTAGTATTGTGATTTTTGTGGTCTTTTGCAGTGCTTTTCATTATTGTCCTTTTCCTTGCTTGTCTTTTATTTTGCTCCTGTTCAAACCAATGTTTCCATTTCATTGTGTATGAAGTTTTGAAAACTTTATTTTTTATATTGTTATCTTAACTTCCTTTTTTATTTATTTATTTATGTATTCAAAACCAGGTATCCTGATGGATGTTTTCATGGTTTGTCATAGGCTCTTCTGAAAAATGCAAGGTTAGTACCTTAATAAATTAAATTGACTTATTTTCCACTTATTCTTATTTGTTTATTAATTACAGATGTTCTCATCTTTTAAGTTTGTATTGAAACATGAGAGACATATTTATGAAACCTTACGCACAGTTTAATGCTACTTCAGTTTTGTCCATTTTATTGATTACAGCATGGGTTATGTTTGTAAGTGCATTTTGTTTTCGTGTAGTCTGATATAAAGTTTTTCACTTACTGTAAATTTTTCATACATTATATATTACTGTTATGTTTTAGAAGTATCTGAAAATTGTTTAATTATTAAACCACAGTTAAGGTGAACATATTCCACTTAATATATATTAAATATATACAGAGTGAGAGAAATTTAATTAGACCCATTTGAACTTTTATTTCTGTTGCTCACAATTACTTTTTATAAAATGTTGACATTCTTTTGGAGTATGATAGATCCCATAATTGCTTGTGTGCCATGAACATTGACATTGTATAACCACATCTTGTGAGATGCATTATACATGTGTGTGCTATATCTACAGAAGTAAACGCAACAAGGAGACTCCTGCAGTTCAGATGGTGCAGTACACAGCTGTACATCGGGCAACCAACACTCTTAGATCTCTCTCTAGCCAGAGGCGGGTTCTAAATCCACCCTCTGATCAGTGTTCAACCACAGTGTCTCGTTCACATACTGCCAGTCCCAATAGCTCCTTGCCCAGAACAAGTACACCAAGGTAGGACTGCAGGACAGAATTAAAATGTAACACGAAAGTAGAGGAAAACATGCTACGTCTGACAATTAAATAATCTGATTGATGTATTTGTACAGAAATTTTTATACTTATGAACTGGCATATGTTTGATAACATAGCTGTGGATTCAGCTGCTGTTTGTCAGACAGCTTGTGAGATAGGTTTGATTGATGGGTACCAAGTACAGGTAGCCATCGATTTGCGCCGATTCAGAATAACGTCGATTTTGAAACCAGCAAGTCAAAAAGTGAGAAAAAAAATTACTATTATTTATAACGTTTTACAATGTATCTCCTACTGATTCCTATACTAAATCATAATTCTTACATCGCTGATTTTGAATAAAATTATAAATACAGTCATCTCTGCAATTACGTATGTTTCGTTAACGCGAATTTGCTCCAATGAGATCGATGAATCGGTAAAAGCTGTTTGTGAAATGCAAACCTTTTGCATATGCGAGTTTGCTCTTATGCAATTTCATTCCTGGCTCTTTAAACTTTCAAAGTGCTAATTTAATCTCTGCGGAGGTACCGGGGTTATTTTTACTGCGCGATTTTCTATAGGTCGGCGTCTTGCATGAACGCAACTTTCGCATAACAACAGAGATGACTGTACACATCAATCACATGAAATAATCGCAGGGACCAACGAATTGCCGATTGTAAGTGTATAAAATATTTTTTATATTTTTTCAATTCCCTTAGTTTTATTTACATTATTTCAGAGCTTTAAATGTAATTCCATTGTATTACTCGTCGATGTTTGGGTGCTGGGAACGCATGTCATTGACTTCCCATTGATTTACATTATAAAAGAGTTTCAATTTACGCCTTCATTCAGGAACGCATCTCCGGCGTAAATTGAGGGCTACCTGTACATTACATTTAATATTTACAAACTTATGTGTGTCAAATAACTATGTGAAAGATGTTAAATTCTTTATAAAATAGATGCATCTTCGCTGTAGTAGGATGTCATAAATTTGCAACCTATGGAACAGGTGTCTAATACAGGATTTCAGGTTCTTTTGGTGGTGAGTATGAAGATGGTTGTAGTACCTTATAGTCTGGTTCATCATCAGGCAATGAATAATGATAAGAATGTTGTTATATTTAAGTTTTGTGTACCAGAAATAATTTAAATATTAGACTCAATTTGAATACCTAAGAGGTTTAATGGGTAAAACTGAAAGTTTTTATGTTTATCATGTGAAATCAACCTTTAATTTTGGGTGTAGACTAATATCAGGCATTTGTAACGTGTCATACAGTATGTGTTTATGATACTTTTCTATTGTGAGAAACCTGTTTGCAGGATGTCTATGGAATGCAATACATATTATCGCCCTAATCCCCCACCATATGCAGGACCGACACACAGGTGAGAATTTTACTGTGTGAAGACATTACAAATATAACATTGTTTGAGAGTAATATATACTGCAGGTAAGTGGCCTTCTTACAGATAGAAGGTTGTTTACAAACATAATGAAAGAACAAGTAAATTGTTGTTTTTTCCCCCTTCATTTTAGAATGCTTTAATACAAATTTTGTTATCAGTATGGCATGGTGCATCTTTAAGTATCAGATAATGGACATGGTGTGCAAATATGGATGGTAGCTGCAAATATATTGATATAAACAGTTGTCAGTTGTGAGCAGCTGTCAAGGAGTTTTTCTCCAGCTTTGATAGTGTGCAGGGGAATGACAAAACAATGGAAAATGGACATGAGATTTAGAACCTGGAATAACATTCTATGTGTAAGGTTCATTGAAACAGTAGCAAGGGAATTAGTAATGTGTAAGTTACATTTAGTGTTAGTACAGGTCAGATAAGATAAGAAGTCATTGAAACAGCAGTTAAAATTTTCTATTGAAAAGGGATTTTGTACATAAAGGAGTCCTGGCAGCAGATAAACATCAAATTTGTGAATGATAGTATGTTGTATATAATACTTACAGTTTGTTTTTGTGATCATATTCTGAATATACATACTGCAACTAGGGTGAAAGTGATAATACAGTAATAGCTTCTGTAAGGAACTAGAGTGTGTATTTGATCAATTTCCTATGTACCACATGAACATTTTATTAGAAGATTTCAGTGCAAGCGTAGAGAGAGATTTTATAAACCAACATGCAGGCATGAGAGTTTATGAAATTGGGAATAGTGTTGAGGCTTTTCCTCTTCTATGCCAAACAAATGTAATTTTCAAGTGTCATTTGACATTGGGTTATGTAACATGCATGGTTAAGGTGAGAAATGTTTACAAAATTTTAGCTGTGAAACCCAAAAGGAAGAGACTTTGTGGTTGGAGGGTAATATTAAAGTGAATTTAGAAGAAATTGGGTTTGATGATATGGGCCAGTTTCATGTAGCTTAGGACATTGGCTCTTTGGGAACATAGTAATAAACTTTTGTTATCCATAAGGGGCAGGGAATATCTTTACTAGGTGAGTGACTGTTGGCTTCTCAAAACGTACTCTGCTCCATAGAGTTAGTTGAATAAAGATTCATTGTACAGTATATGTATTATTTATCAGCTGTGTTAGTTTATAGCTTTGTTTCCTGAAGTCACTGTCTTTGTGTTTACAGTCGTGCAGATTTCTGACTGTTGGAAGAGCCCAAGACTTGGTACTGCTGATGTGTTCCAATGAGGGCCAGAAGCTATTATCAATAACACAGTAGCATTACACATATAATAGTAATTGTGTTTCATTGTGTTAGTTTACGTGTCATACTGAAGACACTCATAAATTTAGTTCCAGTGACAGCCTTACGCATGAAATAATACATTGCAGTTTTACACCCATTTCTCTTATTTATATATATATATATATGTGTAGACTTGTATGTTGGCCAGTTGGTGCAAATTCAGCAGCATTAATAGTGACTGTGAGCTCTGATGGGATTCACATAACAAATACTATTATCTTATAAACATATTTCATTCGATCAAAGTACTTTAAATGTAAATATTCCTTTTGTTAAGTATATAGTTAGTCATAGTTTAATGGGTACCATGCCTTCATATTTTGGAGGTACTGGGTTTGTTTTTCAATAAAGAGGCTTACTATCATGACTAGGGTTTTCATGGTTTTCCTTGTTCTCTTCTACCAAATACTAGGAAATGTTTTAAGTTTAAGTGTTATAAATTGTGTAAATGGCTACGTATATAGTTTGTTATTTTCCTGAGAAAACATTGAAATAATGTATGTTTAGAGGAATGGTCTGTGTTTATTTCTGAAGTTGATAGCTTGTACATTGTAATAAAACTCTTGATGTATATCTCTTTTCTGAATGTTACATATAAGTCTCAAATTGTAATGTAAAAAAGTATGTTAGCTAAATATGTTTAAAAATGTGTAATTGAAGTTATTAATTTTTAAACTGTTATAAACTGGTCATATGTTTATTCTGTTATAGTTCATTTAAGTCCCATAAATGCTTGGCAAACAGTATTATACTAGGGTGATTCATGTCTTTTGTGTGTTCTAGTAATTGTAATTCCAGGCCTTCATTTTCATCATTATGTTTATTGATGTAGCATTAACATCAGAATTATTATAAAGAAAAATAAGTTTATCCATACACATATTTGCTCATTTCTTTTATGTGTTACATTTTCATACTTTTAAAGAGGAAAACTAAATAAAGTGAATTTTATGTTATTGCCCAATTGTTTGCACTAATGTGAATATTTATGTTCTATTAATTTGGATTTAGGTCAGTGGAGTTTCCTGGAACCTGACTTCTATGATTCATAATTTGCATCAAACATTTACAACTCCTTACAAGACATGGTTATGTTATTAATTTTAAGTCTGTATGTAGCCATCTCAGTTCAGTATAACCTTTAATTTATAATCTTTCCTTGAAAATTGATCAGTGCAGGAAAAATCAGTATATTACAAAAGCTGCAGATCTCATTTAGGACTTTCTTTATTTAAAAAGCTTTTATATAATTATGTTTAAGGAAATGCACAGCTAATTATTACTCTGCTGTGTGAAGATGTAGTGCAGTTAGATTTGAAACATTTTTATCTGAATGAACATTATGGTCAGTACAGTATTAATTTAATATGAAATGTTTCCAGAAAATGAATGTTCAAAGTTTCCACAATATCTAATCTGTGAGGTAGTTTTGGTTCAAAATAGTGATTTTTAATTGTTTGACAAGGGAATGTTTTCCCACCTGTGGCAGGGAAATTAATTGTCTATCCTGGTAAATGGTGAGTTTTGCCTCCAAATTCTTTTTGGTATTGTGTGTAGGATGTTGGGATGTGGTGGTAAGAAACATCAATACAATAAGGCAGAAATGACAAAGCAGTGAGGAGGTCCTGTTAGAGAAAATACTGAAGTTGTAAATAGTGTAAGTAACTCATTACATATAAGTACAATTAATTATGGTTGTAAGGCAAGTTTTAGGTTAGATGCATCCTTGTATTAGTACATTACTTAAACAAGAGACTGTTTTTAGTTGAAATGCTTGTAGAAGGAAATTGGTTTCCAGAAAGAAGTGGGAATCATACAATAAATATAGGGCTGTTTTCAGGTGTACAGAATGGTTTTGTAAAATGTTTTATAGGCTTCATAATAAGAGTACATGTAGTAGCTGATTTAGTATACTGTGTATAAGTTGTGAAGTCACACATTTTGCAAATCTGATGCAGTAAGAATAGTAAGGGTCAAGCAACTGTAATGAAGTTTCCCAAGCTACCTTCTAGGTTTCACATAACAATATTTAAACAAAATAAAGACTGTGCTCTAAATTCATTAATGAAGCAACGGAGAGGTAATGAAGTTTCTAGTTGGTTTTGCAGTAGCACTAGGTTTGACATGTCAAAAATGCGGACACATCTGCTTGAATCATTTGGAATCAGACTAACATAAAAACAGGAAAAAAGATATGTTTGAGTGTTAACAAGAAACAGCAAGGTGTGCACATCTGAAAAACTGTGATGAGAAATTGTAACTGTATAAACATAGTGATGTCTGTAAGGTAAATTATGTTTTTATACATGAAGAAATGGAAATAGCTGTTGTGATAGCAGTATTTGAATGCACAGTCAAAAGTTTTGTTGTACACATTACCCAGGGGATGGATAGAAGGACGATTGCATGTCTCGTTACAGATTGCATAGGAACTGCAAAGAGAATAGACTAGAAGAGTGTAAATTTCAAGGCAGATTGACTGTTACAGCAATGGCTACTTTTTCACTGACATTTTTTGAACACCAGAGTTATTCAGAAGAGATATTGTGTTTTTCCTAGGTGATAAATTCTATCATTAGCAAGGTAAAGGATACATAAACTGGGTTTGATTATAGATCTTATTAAAATCATCCATCGGTGGTTGTAGGAATGAATTTCATCAGATTTCTTATCATACATCTTGTATCTGTACTATATTTCATTGTCCTTTAATAATAATTACCCGAGCTCAGAGGAAATTATTGTTAATTATGAATGGGAAGAAAGCAGCAAAAGTTAAGTTTATAATTTAGTTTTTCAAACTTTCTTACTTTTACAAATCAAGTCAGGTAGAGCTTTATTGTCTTCTTTATGTGCATGAAGCAAACATTTCAAATTTTTAGGTTAGATATATTAATGCTCTTTACTTTCACTAGAGATGAAATTCGTGATGTATCTCTTACATTAATAAATGAAGACATGTTTGCACAGAATATTCTTACTGAAACATGATCTTATTTTACATAGACAAGAAAGACATATTTCAAAACTAGGAAGAATTTGTGCAGATTATATTAGATATTTTAAAGGGTATAAAATTAAATTATCATTCTAAAGATAGTTGAACCAGCTTTTCTTACCAAATACAGTAATATTTACCAGTTTTTGTCATCCTAATTGTATTCCAATATTACATTTATAGAGGTGTTAATGTATATTATGTTCATGTTGATTCCACAGTAAGAGTGGTGAACAACATAAATCATAAACTATTTGTGTCATATATAAAATCACATTGGGAGATGAGGTTCCTCAAGCCCTCAAACATAAATATAGTAATGAAACAATCCAAAATTTTAATTATAGACTTACTTTCATTACATTTGAAAATTATCTCTCGTAACATTTACACCATTTTAACAATAAATATGAAAGTAACCAGTTAAAGTTATCACTAAAAAATAACAGTTTTCTCCAGAAAGTCACAATGTATCTTTAATTACATATTAAATGAGACAACAATACACTTCATAACCTTGTCACATTTCTGGTAGAAGTTCCAGATGTTTGTTACAGTTTCAGTAGTGTTGTATTCTTAGTGTCATTCTCAGCAACAGGAAATAAATGCACTTATCTATCACATTTGACCAAGTTAATGCCCTTTTTTGGGGATTTCAAAGATAGGCTACAATTATCTTACCAATAGCATGTAGTGGTACTAGGGATTTTGTGGTTTATTTAATGATAATGTGTAATATCACTTGACAACATTCTTCATAACTTCAATATTCGAAACAGAGTAGTCTGATTATTTCATCTATTTATCCATTAACAGGTGCCATAAATTGTTGTAACCTCCAGTTTGTAATAAGTGTTGGAGAACTTGGTTTTATAAATTCTCCTTGGTAGTCATTGTAGTTTCAATATCAAGAAAAGAAAATTTGAAATTATGAGGTATTTCTACATCATTGAACGTATTCACATGTGCTACTGAAGAAAGAAAATGAATTGAATTAGTCATGTGCATAATCACATGTACTCACTTTTGAGAGTATTGAGCTGTTGCTGCCATTGCAGTCACCATTGGCAAGTGCATCATTTCCTACAAGAATCACATCCATCCAAGCCTTTACTATGTGTATGCTATATTGTCTATAGTGTGTTTCTTAGCAAAACATCTTCAGTCCTGGACTCGTATTATTTTGCTACTAGATTTTGGTGAGGGTTTTGACCATAAAGAAACCAATAAAGTTCACAGTGACTTACATAGGTCATCCCAGTAGTGACATGAGACATAACCACGTGAGTCATGCAGTGTTCCTTCAATAATATGTGGGTACTTTTAAAAATAACTGAAGTCCAAAAATAACTTACTTAGCTTATAACTCTGGACATAAAAAACGTTAGTGAACTATAATGGTTTTGAAAATTTGACACTTTCCAATTATTCTTGGAGAAGATTAAATCAAGCATAAAATAGTGCTTTTGCTAGCATGTTTTTTACTTTCCTTGAAAGTGATTTCTGTGGATGTATACGGTTTTACAAATGACTGATTCAACTGTATCATTTGTGACAAATTTATAATGGCATTGTTTAAGCTAAAAGTATATTCTTCCAGAAGTTGATTGTATTAAAATGGAAATGAGAGTAATTGTACTGGAAATAAGTCATGTTATAATTTGGGAAACTGCAGCAAGAGAATCTAGAAATAAAATGTGTGAGAATTAAATGAGATGATCTAAATTATATCTAATGAAATTATGAATTACACAACATTCATCTGTGTCAGACAAGCTTCAGATACTTTCATCCATCTCTCACAAAAGAGTTATGAAATCTACTTCGGATAGTAGCAAATAGGGAATTAAGATACATTGCTGACCTCATATTTTCCTGCATATGCACTTCAGAGAGTTTGGAAGGACATACAGTAGTTTACTTAATATATTAACTGCTAACTAAACACTTCTAATGATTCTTTAAAATATATATTTCATATTTTGTAACATACAAAACCATGTGTGTCTCCAATGCTGGATTTTTGTGCACACATTGAGCTTAAAATAGAACTTCAGCTGAACTACCCAAAACTTTTATTTCAATTTCAAAGTAGTGTGCAAGTTTTCCTTTAGGCCATTGTCCAACAAAGATAATGCAGTATACTGTCAGTCCTACTGAAAATATAAATTAAGGACATTCTTACAGTAATTCTCTGCAGACTGTGTTTCTTCTTGTGGTTTTTATTTTTATACTTCCTTTACCCCTTTCTCTTAAAATGTTTCTCTTTATGTGCATCATATAAATCTATTCTACTTTATTAGCCCTTCAGTCATGGCAGCTATTTAAATTGTGTCCTTCCATGTAGATGGAGGAGATGAAAACCCCATGATTCTGGTCCATATACCATATACAGAGGCTGGCAACAAAGGGTTAAGTTTAATCCCGCCTTTCAATAATCTTGTTGTTATTTAATTTAATCTCATATATTGTTAAATATAGCCAAAGTATGTAAAACACTGCAGATCTTAGTGACCTCAGGATGCATTTTAGTTGCAAATGTAATTTCTTTAAGAAAACAAATCAACATAATAAGAGTGGATACAATCTCCATATCACAATCTTGCACAATACCAAATACTTCCTTGGTTGGTTTAAAGGAAGGAGCGTCCTGCAATTAAACCATTTAAACAGCTCAAATGTAAATTCTAAGTCTTATTTTTTTACAGTAGGGTAGTAAGGAACTGCTCTTAGTATAAATCCTGTAAAACTTGATAAAGTACTTGAAAGACAAGACTGTGCAAGCCACTTATGACCTGTCACTACCTTATATAACTTTCCTTAAACAACCAAAAAGCAAACTTCTGTCACACCACACATTTGTCTCATGCTCTTTACAGTTGCTTTTCTTAATAATTGACTCGGTGTTATCTGTGAGTTGAAGTCACAAAGTTCAGAGCTATCAGAATGGGTTAAATTTATGAAGTTGAGACATACATGAATGGGTTGAATTCACGAAGTTAAGGGTTATTTAAGTGATTTCAATGGGTTGACTTCACAAAGTTGAAGGTTATCTCAGTGTGTTGTTCTCATAAAGTCATCTCAGTGGGTTGAATCAGTGAAGATGGGTTTGCTTCAGTGAGTTGGATAAAGTTGTGGCTTATCTGAAGGAACTGGATTGAGTGGGATTCATGAAGTTGATAGTTCTTTTAGTGGACTGAATCATGAAGTTTGAAGTTTCCTTATTTTAGTTATCATCATGAAGTTGAAGTATGAATTATTAAATTGTCATAATGGTTTTTTCAATGGGATATTTGTGTGTTTGTCATCTTTTCCAGTTTTACATGGTTGCTTATAATAAAGAAGACAGATGGGTCTTTAAAGAGCATGCTGAGACATTAGGGTCAAACATCAGATTCATCTGTTCTCTCTTGTCATTAAATGTCACCACAAAACATATTTCCACTTTAGAAATGTTCATCGCCCACATGTTGGCAAATTCACCATGAAGAAAACATTCAGTTCAATAAGAGATGCAAGCACAAGAAACATTCCATACATAATCAAGCAGGCTTGGCCCACCTTGCGGTCCAGTTGGAACTTGTTGCATGAGAAGGTGGCATACAGTAGTAGTAGAGTTGACAATAAAGAGATAGCACTATATTCAAGACCTCTTGAATTTATCCCTACAAAGTGCTGTCCTTCAGTAGTGGGCAGGAATGAAGCTTTAATGAGCCATGGTAGTCCTAGACATAGCAGGATGTCAAATGTATTGGAACCAATGGAATTGCTAATTCCCATAGATCCGTGTCCTGTAACAGATAGTAATTTCATTTATATAATAGGGATGAATTTTCCAAGGCATTGTAGATATGTTACTGCAATTTTTACTTTTAGTAAGAAGCATTTTGCAAAAAGATGATATATAATGAGCTAACTGAACAAGATTTGTGATCTGTGTGTTATAAGCAGAAATATTTGAGGTTGAGATGGTAATGTGATCAGTTATACACTTAAGTAGGATTTGAGGTTTTCATGGCAGTGAATTTGAAGATGGCTGACTTCTGGGTTGTTGTGCCTTGGTCTTGAGTTCACATTCTTATACCAAGAAATTTTTCTGTTATGTTTCGTAAAATGAAATGTTCTCACCTTGTTTAGCAACAATCACACTAGAGACTGCTTCTGGAACACTAGTCCCTGCTGCGAGGAATGTAATGCCCATTACAGAATCTGGAATTTTCAATGTGTCACCTGAAAATTGTCAAATCATTAATCAGTGTCAACCAGTCATTTAATGTGAGGCAGAAATATTTATGGATGAATATTTATTTCTCTTATTAAAGTTACTCTTTGGTTCAGTAATTTCTTTGAAAAGTTGGTAGTTATTCATCTGATCAAGAAATTTAATACTTTTATGGAACTCAAAATTTCAATAAAGTGTCACAAAGGCATACTATTGGACCTGTGTTTACATCTAACTTTGTTGAAAATGCTGCATAAAATTTAAATGTTAATTATATAAATCTGATTAATAATAACTAAGGAAATTTACAGCTGAATACTGTTATAAATGGCTGTTTGTATCAGATTTAATTTTTTACTGTTGTCAAAATAATTCTTTTATTTCGTATTTTTTCACAACTTCTTTGTAAAGTAGTATTCTGCTTCCTTCTTTCATTATTTTCATTTTATTCTACAGTATTTTAATTGTTACAATGTTTAATTTAAATAACAGACAATTGATAATATCATAATAAACTTTCCTCAGTCCTCATTCTCAGAGTGAGAAGCATAAACCAGGTCACAATCCTTCCCTACTGAATTAATAATCAAATTATCAGTATATTGTTTAGGAATCAGATAATTTGTTTATAAACTTTAATTGCCATGTTGATAATACTTTTCCCACATATGAGGTATAAATTACTCATGTTGTTGGTCCTCTGGTTTGTAACACTTTGTGGACTTTTAGGTTGATACCAGCATTTCAGAGAAACATACTGTCTCCACTTTGAGCCCTGGCTGGAGACAAAATGTTGGTATCTATCTACAAGTCTCAGAAGACCAACCTCAACATCTTCACTGCTGTAAGATCCTCAGATCTCATAAGAGACATGTGTTAAAGGTTAACATACACCCAGGAATGTCTAAAACATTTCTGTGTTCAAAATCCAATTATCCTATCTTAATTGTAAAATTTCACTTTGTTCATTAAAAATTAAGTATAATTACCATTCATAGTATCATCATAAAGGAAACTCACCAATAATAGTTATCATCCATGCTACAACGTAAGATAGGCTGCCAATCCAAACAATGCACATAAGGAATGTAAGCGGAAACCAGCGTTTGAAGCGCGGTTTCTCACAGTCTGGTATGGTAACAAGAAACACGAGATGAATTGGCCATACAAGCAACCATGCCAACTGTCGCCACTTCTTCTGTCCCCGAGGCCAGTGGAATATTGATGATGACAGAATTCCAGAACCAGCTAAATGGAAAGTGATTTGTTAGGACTCTAATTTGCTCAAAAGATAAATTCAATAAGCCATTGAAATTAATGCAATTAATATAATTAACTTGCATCATGTTTTTAACTGTGTTGTAGATAACATTCATATAATGAAATGTGATGTTTTGTCTTGTAAACTAAAATTTGAAAATGCAAAGACAGCAATAAAGGACTTCTGGTTAGCAGCATGTGTTTACATTTCTAATTACATTACAAGAATGCTTCTTTGGGCTTTATTGCATCAGGGAAATTTACTGGGCCTCAGATAGATACTATAATGAATTTGTCTCAAAATGGAGCACACCAGGGTTTGATCTGTGGGGGCAGGGGCTATTCATGTGCATGCCATGGAACCAATTATAAGCCACAAATACAGATGATTCAGTGCTAACAAGTGACCAAACTTTAAGAGTCCAGCTTCAATTGGCAGGTCTGCTATTGAGGCATAACTTTAGGAAAGTAATTAATGACAATAATGACATTCAAGTTATAAAAATTAAAAGTGACTAATATGAAAAAGCCCAGCATATACATTTTTAAAGAAGTGTCAATACAATAAAAATGTACCAAAGAAACAACAGTACTTGCTGATGTGATGACAGGAAGGACTGGACAATATATCACTTTTACTAACATAATTATATAACAATCTGTAGTACAGTGAAAAAATTCCCAGACCTAACCTAGACACAGCCACTCTAGGAACCACTGGCATATGGCTCAAAGAGAGTAGTTTGAGAGTTTTGTCTTGGTTGGTTGAGTCCAGGAATATATTTATTACTATGCATATAAATTCAAAATACCGTGAGTACTGAGTTGGGTGCGCTTACAGTCATTATCCTGCTGCAATGGCAGGGCAGCTTGAGGCTCCACCATCAGTGCTGAGGGACCTTTAACACTGCCATTTTGTTGTTGTTGTTGCTGTGTTACCACATCTTCACTATTTTGCTGTTGTAGTGGCAGTTGTACCTCACCAGCCTCTGGCAACAACCCAACCAGACAGACACATATCACTAAATCGTTCAGCTGTCACTGAGACGGAAATTTTATTCTTATGCAGTTTCCAATTTGAAATTTAACATGAGTGATAATTTGAATAGTATAAAAGAACTTCAGGATTTGCTAATCAAGAGTATTGCTTGGGTGTCTTTACTGTGTCTAACACCGGAGAATATAGTAAAATTAAGTGGCCCTACTGTTCTTAAATACTACAGGAAAATATTTGAAATAAAAGTCTCAGGGACTCACTGTGGAAACAGTGAATTTATATTTCAAAAGGTTGATCCAGTTGCCCTGAGTTTTCAAATTCAAAAGTGTTTTTAAGTTTATAGCGAATAATTATCATATATGACATATGGTGCTTTGAGTTTAATTCAGAATGTTATACTTATACACAGACATTCCAAATATTGTCATTGAAAATGGTCCCATAATTTGAGCACATTACTGTAGATGGACATGATGTTATAGCTTTAAATATCTTCACTTACCAACAGAAGTTGGATCTGTTGATGGCTTTCTGTTGGTTCCATCCTTGAGTTGGCGTCTGGCACATCGCTGGATGGACTTGTCCCAGTACATTACTGCAAATTAATCAGCACTAATGAATCTAAGAGTATGTTAATGGTATTCATTAATAAAGATTTTTTAAGGGCATTTTCTCCAACAAGAAAAGAAAATGTAGACCATTTTCCTATTTTAGTTCACTTAATTTATCTGTTTCACACATTCCATTTTCATTGATTAGATCAGCAATTCTGTGTATCATGCGTTCTCTTTTATGTAACATTTTAATATGGATATTTTAAATAATGAGCAGCAGTCATAGGATATATAAGGACATTTGGCCACTTCATTTATTTGGGCCGTGTAGGAAAGAAAAGAGTTCTCAGATTGGAATTACATTTCTTAATGCCTCAGATCTGGTTATTTCTGACTTTTTATGTTATTCACAAAAATAGCAGTGGATTGCATTTGAGAATCATTTACATCAGAGTCTGTGGTCTGTTGTAATTATTAAGTTATTTCAGGGACAGTGAATCATTTTAAAGCTTAGCATCCCAAGGCCCTTACTATTACAACACATACACCACAAATATTTTTTCTGAATGTGGCATTCTTAGTGTTATGGTGGTTTCTGTATCTCTTCACTTGATGAAAGCACATGCTTTCTTTGTTCCTTGGCAGGAATTTGCCAAAGTTGGAATTACAACAGTGCAGAAGTGTCAGTAGCGAATAGAGGGTTATAAAATCAGAAAGTTGCTTCCACTTCAATTTATCATGTACGTATTATAATGCTAAGAATATCATGCAACGAACCATATTATTAATTAATATAATTTATATTACTTCCGTCACATTAATTATTGCAATGTGTTTACTCCTAGATTACAATACATTCCTTGAAATCCAAGACCACATGACATGTTAGTGCAATTTGACAGTACCAACAACAAAGCTTGACTGATGCTAATTACTTTAACTTTCACATGACCATCAGTTCTGCAGTGAAACTACAGTAAGACCACCACAAAAAGAATTACAGTGTGTGTGTATATATATATTTATATAGTCTGTGTAACAGGGACTGGGAGGAAGAAAGTAAACAGACTCAGTGGGAATCTTCTTACTGTGGTGAAACTGCTACGAGGTATTTATTACTTTATGCTGCCTCAGGTTCTGATGTTTGTTTACCTGCTGTGTACACAATGTAGAGCAGCACTAGGGTCAGGGCCTCATACCATTCAACTCTCTCATCGTGAATGATACAGATCATGAGTGAGACTGTGACTCCGTAAGCCAGACAGTCCCTTGTTAGTGGCCACCAGTCTAGCGGCACCACCTGTCAACAGCATTCAAATTGTGAGGTTTTTGGTTCTTACAATGGTAAAGATGTCCATGGTGGTCTTCTGGGTTGTGATGCTCTGTGGACTTATAGTTGGGTTCCAACATTTTGGAGGAACATCCTGCCTCCATTTGCAGGTCTGAAGACCACCATGGACAGCATACGACTTGTTTTATTCCAAAAAGAAGACATTCATCGCCTTCTTCCTGTTAGCTGATTGTGTCATTAATAAGATTATCTTAATATTCCAAAGTAATATATTAATGATATTGCAGATTGAGAGTGTCTGAGAATGAAGTTCTGAGGATAATATTTCAAAGTAAGAGAGAAGATGTACCAAGATGTGCTTGTACACCAGCAATATGACATTGTGATACATCTTATATACAACCAAAAGTGATATTTTTTCAACTGCCTGAAAATTCAGAGACATCACATCGTATTTTTGTTCTGTCTCCTTGTTTATAATTTTCAAGAAGATGTGGATGTTTTATATACCTTTATTGTTAGGATCTGTAACTACTATAGATGGCACGTATGCTCATCAGTTATAATTTATAATTTAAATACAAATACAGATCTTGCTTGGGCATGATGTGTGTTCTATACAAAACTTATATTAAAAATGACCTACATTAAAGTGAGTTAGATTATTTCAGATTCTTTTGTTTCTCTTTACAGAGTCAATCTAGTGGCAGGACATTACTCACGATGCCAGCACCAATGCCACAGCAGGCTGCAACAGCTAGGATGTTGAAGACAGCACTGCCGACGATGGTACCAACACCAATATCTCCTTCTGTGATGAATGTACCAATCACATTCACGAAGAGTTCAGGCGCTGATGTTGCGGCTGCCATGAATGTTGCACCCGCTACATCATTAGACATGTTTAGCGCTGTGGAAATGACAGACTTTCTGTTAATGCCACGCTAGATATTCAGGTAAATGCTTGTCCTTTCCGAAAATATTACTATTAATTTGATAAACACACTAAGCTGCCAGTATTTTGTAGTGTCTAAAATGTACTTTCATGACTGGTTTCACCTTATGTGCTTATAAATGTTTATTTCACATAGAATTTAAATGCATCTTGTGACTTGAGGTCCTCTGCATTATGGTGCTGTGAGTTCTTTGTAGGCCTAAGTGGTCACCAAAGTTTCAGAGGAAAACTGAAGTTGAAGGCCAGAAGACAGCAGTCCACTTTTGTTTAGCATTGAAAACCAGGAATCTCATAGATTCAGACCAGTGATATTGCAGTTGTTATAGCTATGTGGTTTTGATAAATTATAAGGGTAATCTTGAAACTTATTTATGGTGAAAAGGCAACTGTTTCTTTGAATATGTGAAAAATCAAGCCAGTTTTTTTTCCTGGGACTTCTACTCCTATGTTCGGCTTTGCCCAACAGGCTGCACTTTTCAGATTTGTTAATTTTAGTATTTTGGGATGTTGGACTGTCTGCTGCTGTTGGCTGGGTCGTCATTGTAGCGAATGTCGGACTGCCCGAGGACCTGAAATGGTTTAAAATTAGAGACATGTCGGTCTACCTTGGCAGATCCTTTCTACGGCGGGAACAAAGTACTTGTCGCAGACGACCGCTAGAGCGACGAACAGGTAGAGGGACGCAATGACGTGGAGGACGACGGCTCCATCCTGCCTCTGTTCTTCTGTGAACAAGTCTTTTGGAAAATCGTCTATTGCTGGAGGTGTGCAGTTCTGTGTGAAACTCTGATCGTCCAGACCTGCCAAAATTATGATTGTTATAGTTAGTCCAGGAACAAGATTATGCTGCGCGCAACCAAACTCTGCTGGTGACAGAACAGAAATGGGGAGTGGGTTGAGGTATTTGTACATCTGTTCAAAAATTTACACTACCTGTTGATGCTACTCGAGTCTTCAGCCAGTCTCCTGTCCAGATAGTACGAGTTCAGTTTTAAATTATCTGCTGACATTCTGTGTGCCAGTTTTGCTCAGAGTTTTTAACTCTGATTTTGTTTGCGTGTTTTAGTGATGTATAGGGACGAAGGGCCTTAGATGTAGCTTGAAGAAGGCGCCACCAGGCACGAAAGAATTTCGAACGTATGTGACGAAAAAAGATGACGGGAAATTCACAAAGGAAAAAGAACTCTGAAGACGGTTTCATATTCCTGTGCAGAAGTTTTGAGACCACTGGGACTTGTGCAGTTTCGATGAGGACGTTCCAAGATATAATAACAGGAAAAACGCCAAGCAAAGTGTTCATTTACGTACACGCGGGGACGAATTGCCACAGCACGAAATTGCCCAATTTAGATATTGCGTCTTAAGAAGAACAGTGCATAGCATCCACGCAACATGAAAGTAGCTACCTGCTGTCGACAGATAGAGAGACTTGGAGAAGTAAATCGATTTGAAACGATGGAATTGGTGCTAGAGAGTGTTGATGAAATAATTAGTATTTATAAATAGCAAGACCGAAAACAATATAAAGATTTATGTCGAGGAACACTACTCTAGAGGGTAACATATCTGAAGACTCTGATGTTCTGTCGTCCCTCATTTCTAAGTGAGAACGAACCATCGCTGGAGGTGAGACGGGGTTTGTTCTAGCCGAGGAAAGGCAGGTCAACCTTGTCATCATTGTCTCGATCAAACGAAATCATTAAAACCTAGCAAACCATGTGACTTGGTTGTTGTGTTACACACAATGCCTACTGCCAGGCCACAGAAGTAACAGCGCGAAGTGGCTGCTGGAAGAGAACATTAATTTTAAAACATTATGCCTACGCCGAAAACTAAGCACCTTCATAAGAAAAGCATCATTTTGAGATATGACCACGCCTACCTTCGATTGTCCCATTATCGCCCAGCACTCAGTCCCAGTGAAACCTGTGAGGCCACGATGGGCTGGGCACTTAGATAGGATTGGTGAGACGAAGAATTATACAAAATTTTCGTAGGGAAATATATCTGAAAACGTCAGCCTTGAAGGCCGAGATGGTGGGGCGGATAATACGGACGGAGTTGGGAGGCGTGTGCCACTGGCCTAGTATGGTACCGAATGGCGGACTTCGGTGTTGAACCCCGTGGTTCTGCTGTTGAGGCCCAGAAATTTCTCGTCTTACGACTTCGTATTCTTATTGGCTTGCTGCTCCGGTGTGGAAAACTTCAGCCGTTCATGCGGTCGAAGGACCCAGCCTACTTCATTAAAATATTTCTTGCATTTAAAGACCTGCACAACCATCCGAAGTGTGTGCCGATCTGCCCTTGGTTCGAACATGCTTGTAGTCGGTTACTGTGTGGCGGGTGACCGCGCGAGGGCAGTGTGTCACGTGGTGAGAGCCAACACCGGTCACCGTCTGTCGGCCCTCGCATCTAATTGCTATTGCTCTGCGTTTTCTCTTGCGGTATGATAATTCGGCGGAACTAACGCGTGTTGGGCGGTGATTTGTTATTGTCCGTAAAAATGGACGACGAGAGACCCAGCTTGCAGATTTCTTGCAGACAAAAAAAGACGTGTTTTTTACGGCGCTGTAACAAGTCAGAGGCACAGAATGAAGGTTCTCTTCACGCGCTGGCAATTCGCAAAAACACTGCTGAGTGCCGGTCTCAAGGCAGTCTCAAACAGAAGATCTGTCAACGTCCGAACCTCGTAACTCCGTCTGAGCGCGATAAGCCTTTACTTACCCACCTTCTTTGAAGCCTACATAGAGAGAGGGAATTAAAGCAACAGAGAAAAGGAAAGGAGACGAACCGAGGAGCTGGGTGTGGTTCCACGACCCAGACACCGCCCTGTCCATCAATCGAAGCGCTGGCTGCTGGCACTCTTCGACGACGTGACAGCGAACACTTCCTCCTGTACGGCGCTCCTGGTCTGACTGGCTTGTCCTCGTCGTTACTTTCGTCTG